CAAAGCAAAACAGAAAGACCAACTTATTATTATTTGAGTGTAGGCTGTATGTGTGCAGGCCTGCAGACCAGGGCACATGGAGGCCAGAGGGCAACTTTCAGGATCAGCTCTCTCTGCCCCCTTTGTGTGTGTTCTTTGGGCTCAGGCAGCAGACGCTCGGCTGGATAAGGTTTCAGTTCTTCATCTTCAGCACCTAGCACAGCGCCTGCCATGAAGCTGTTGATTTTCTTAACTGGAGAACTTGGGGCATTACTCACGTCAGGGAACGTCCTTCTTGTCCCTCAGAATCTCGATCCACTGACCAAGGAAGATCCCTGGATGCAAAGCTTCCCAGCCCTCCCTGCCCTTTCACGAGAAAGGTTTCTGTCTACTGTGCTTACAGCATCCCCACAAAGCCCCTTGCTGGTGATTCACTCACTGCTTTTGTGGCTTCTGTCACTGCAATGTCCATGGGAGCAATCACATTAAAAAGCACTCACATATGAGATTGCCTTTGGCCCAGTGGCTTCCCTTTGAGTCATTTATACTAAGAGAATAATGAAGATAATGAAACAATAATCAAACAGATTTACCCGCATGAATGTTAACTGAAGCCATGTTTACCATAGTTAAAGAAACAATCTAAATGTCTTACAAAGAGAATATTCTGGTTTGGATAATTGTATTAACTGTCCAAAAGCTTCCGTGTAGTAATTAAAAATTAAACTGTAGAAATAGGTTTATTTATATGTTAGTTATTAATAATCTACTATTGGCTTTTATAATCGAGTTACAATACAGAATCATAGTATTGTATTACTTTTATCTAAAATGGGTGTGGTGTGTGTATAGAAGGAAATCCCAGATACTGAACAACTATTTCCTAAGCAGTGCAATGGACCAGGCTTGTTTTCCAACTGCTCGCGGGTTTTCTGGGTTTTCTAGTAGCACATGAACCACCCTGTTAACAATCTTCTAAAGACAAGAAAAGTTTGGATAGCTTGGAGCAGATTTTATTTAAGCCCTCTAGGCCAGGCTCCATTCACAAGCATAGATATTTTTGAGCAGAGGAACAAAAGAGAAAACAATCACTTATTAAATCTCACTATTTCCCTAGGCGTGTACTCTCTGCATGGTCTTGTGTAAATATGAATGTATTGTCTGTATTTTTTAACTTGTTTTTTTTTTTCTTCAATTACAATTTTACTCTTTGTTTGATATGCATGAATGCCTGGGGTGGGAGGGGGATGTGTGAATGACAGGGTGTGGTCAGAGGACAGTATGGGGCAGACAGTTCTTCTTTCTGTGGTAGAATCAGGAGACTAAACTCAGGCAGTGAGGCTTGGCAGCATCACCTTAACCCACTGGGCTATCACACCAGCCTCTACATTTTCACAGATAAGAAAACTGATATCACGGGGGGAGAAACACCTGTATCTGAAGTCACACAGTCATAAATTCCATCCAACAAGCTGCCCAGCTGTAAATCCGGCTCTGTCCGTCCCAGCAGGAGCATCCCTCCAGCTACCCTCCTCCCACCTGGGAGCCTCCAGTCTAGCCAGCACCGGCACTGATAAAAGTGAAAACAAGCCAGCCTCTGAGCTCACCATCTTCTGATGTGAGCCCACCAGAGGCCAGTGATCCTCGCATCCAGGGAATCAGATCAAAGCCTTGGGGAGTTTGCCTGGAGTTAAAGGATAATTGTGTATTTGTCCGGGGATTGACCCAACAGGGCCCTTGATGACCAAGAACAACAAACACCACGTACCGGCTGGGAGGCACACAAGGTTGGGGATTTGGGGGTTCACTGACTCCGTGGCTGAATATGGACTCTTAGATGTCTGATTCCTCAGGACTTTGGCTATGTCGTTTCAAGAAAGCAAATTGTGGTCTACAGCCTCTCTGAGGGGTTCTCAATCTCTAACCAATGTGGACCATATTACAGGTATGAAGTCAGAAGGCTGGGTGCATATATTTCTAGTATCCCAAGGGCCTCCTGCCACCAGCCTTCAGAGGGATGGAGATTTTTAATATGTATGGATGTTTTGCCTGCACATATGTCTGTGTGCCATGTGCATGCAGTGCTCATGGAAGCCAGGACAGGGCGTCAGATCCCCTCTAACTAGAGTTACAGGTGGCTATTAGCCACTATGTGGGTGTTGGGACTTGAACCCAGGCCCTCTGGAAGACAGCCTGTGCCCTTAACCTCTTAGCCATCTCTCCATCCCCAGAAAGGAGTATTTCTTGATACTTATTCTTGACTTATTTCCCCTAAAAGCAACCGAGTTTTGCGGAGCACTGTCTTCAACCGCAGCCCTCTTAGAGACCCGACTCTATGTGTGCTCCGAGACTCTGGATCTCCATGGATGTCTCAGCTGTGAAGGAGAGTGAAGGAGATTAAACACATTTCATGAACATGGAGAAGTAGGAAGGTTGCAACTTCAAAAAAGAAAAAAAGGGTCTCAGTTTCCCCCTAACTAAAGGTTCCTGGGTAGGGGTGAGGAAGTGTAGCAGACTTTCTCGTCGGACTGTCTTTGGACCGCCAGCCTGTAAATAATGATCCAGAGACTTACTTTGAATTATGAAAGCTAGGCCTTAGCTTAGGCCTTTTCCCAACTAGCTCTTACATCTGAATTAACCCATTTTTTTTTAAATCTACGTTCTGCCACGTGGCACAGTTACCTTTTCTTAGTCGGGCACATCTGACTTGCTCTGAATCTGTGAGTGAAATCACGTGCCTAGAATCCTCCGCTCAGTCCCCCCCCACCTCCGCCTGAAAGTTCCGCCTATTCTCTCGTGCCCAGCTATTGGCCATTTAGCTCTTTATTAAACCAATCAGAAGGCTCCTTGGGCAAAGACACATCTTTACAGTATGAACAAATATTCTACAAGGAAGGGCAGATAGTGCAATGAGCTCACCCACTCTATCTAGGTCTATAGTAGAAATCCCCTACTTTGCCTCTTGTCTGTCAACCCACCCTAGGTTGTCACCTCTTTACCTTATGTCTTCCCATCCACGCTTACTTTTGTCTCTCCTCTATGCTCTTGTAGCATAGCTCAAACATGCACATGCATACACACAGACACACACACACACACACACACACACAATCTGAACACTCGGTTCCCCCATTAAAGTTAAGAAGTGATCTGTGTGTCAACAGTTAAGAGCAAGTAATGCAAAGAACCAAAGTTCCATTCCTAGCACCTGTGTCAGGCAGCTCGCAACTCCATGTAACTCCAGTTCTAGGAGGTCTGATGCCCTCTTCTGGCCTCCATGGGTACTCCATTCACACACACACACACACACACACACACACACACACACACTCACACTCTCGTATAATCTACAAAAACCAAAAAGAGTTATCTATGAATCTATGAGGAGATACTGTAGGGAACCTATCCTACAGCAAGCTTTCGGTTACTGTGTTTACACACACTGATGATTCTCTCCTGTTTGGCTATTACAATAGTGGCTGCAAAATGATGACTTTAAATGTCGTTGACTACATAAGGATCAATGGCTCACTATTTTTTCAGTTCACTATAAGAGATTACTGCCGTTATTTATTTTTATGCTCAGGTTGTCTAAGAGTTGACCACGGCTTCCCGGCAAGTACTTTCTTTTACAGAGAGTCACTCTTTGAGTTCCTCCCTTCTTTCTGTGCAAGGTCAGCTTCCACTCTTCATTCCCCTGGAATGAACCTGGTCAAAGAGCCCGGGTATCTAGTAAAGACTGGGACTGAGCTGGGCATGGTGACGCACGCCTTTAATCCCAGCACACTGGGGGGGGGGGGGGGGGGGG